TTATTATTATATTATTATTATATTATTATTATATTATTATTATATTATTATTATATTTTATTATTACCTGGAGTCTCAGCCAATCCATGCGAAGACCACTGAAGTCAAAGATTTCACCAGCTTCAACTAGAACACAATTACATTTTTTTTTTAATTTTTAAAACTATTTGACAATACAAAGGCACATTCCAGCAATACATTACACATGCCAAGGTGTATGGGAGGCATGGGAACTTGGGACTTTATAATGATGATAATCAGGAGTGATGAAGGTAATGTATACACTGTAATAGACCCCTTGCATGTGACGTCAAAGCAGCTCGATCCGGGGGACAAAACAAATGAATTCCAATCTCCCAAGAACTTGAACCTATTGTTTTGTCCCCAGGTTGAGCTACATTCAAAACTTCTGCAAGGGGTCTATGATTATTGATAGTGCTTATGATGGTGATGATGATAATATTGACGATCTGATGATGATGATAATGATGACAACAATGATGTCATTTTTTGAATGAAGGAAAAAGCAGAGAGATTGTCAGAGAAAAGTGTCCCTACTATTTTGTATTATATAGGTACCTTGTTTAACAGTTAATGAGGACAACTCATCAATAAAAGATGTCATTATCAGAGATATATCTTCAGAACACACCGAGATTTTCTGTGAAATGAAAAAACAAAATCAATTGTGCGAAGAAATTATCAATACTACTATTCTTAAGCACACAAAGATACAGTACATTGTACTGTACATCAAGTCTCACCTGAACAACTTCTTTAAGTAGTGTGACATCAAAGCCTGACAAGTACTGAATGAAGTATCTTTGAAGAACAGATGAATACTTCTGGATCATAGCTAAAAACGAACAATTGAAGAAGAAATGTTAGGAAAAGAATGGTGAGTGGGCTTCTCAACAATTGTTTCTCCCTCAATGCTCATAAGTATAAGTTAAGTGCAAAATCCTATACCGGATATACATGTATTTGAATCCAACGCTGTCAATATAAACTTGTATTGGCAGCTCAAACTGGCAATAAGTTTTGTATGGCAATAGAGGTTTTGCATCATCACGTGACGGCAGCCATGTTAGATGGCAGGAACAATACTGTTGTTTTTCATAAGAAAGGATTCATTCCCAAGAGCAAAGGGATCTTCTTGTTCTGCAATCTAACCACAGGAAGCCAAAAGTAGTGTTATGGGAAGGGCACATGATGTTGCAAAACCTCTATTCTCCTATCACAAGGAAATTCTGTGCAACAATAAGGGTTCATATTGAACCGATCAAACTAACAGATGTATAGGAGAATCAAGATACTATACAATACAGTACAGTAAGCAATTTAAATTTTTTTTATAAAATTCAAATCAGAATAGCTCACCATGTTGGATATGAATGACAAAATAGCAAAAGTGAGCATACGTTGTGCTTTCATAAAGCATGAACTTGTAACCAATCAGAAAGCAGGATTGAAAACATAAATTTTATAAAACATTTAGTCAATTTGGTTTAAACTTATTTACTTACATCGGATTTCTTCAACAGACAATAAAAGTTGACACAGTTTTCTAATAAAAAAGGAGATAATGATTGGTCATTGTTATTGATTTGGTCTATTGTTCTCTGTCCATAACTAGATAAGATAAACCTTTTTTCTGAGTGAGGGGAAAGGGTTGACAAAATGACCAACTTTAAGCATTTATGGAGTTTGAAAGAACAAAGAAAACAAGCCATTACATTGAAATTTATTTTATTTTTCCTTTCCATATTTCTGCTTCTTGTAAGCACATGTTATATTTCAGTCAAAAAAAACAAGAAAAATATGTAAAAGTTGGGTTACAGTAGCCTGGGAATGGAGGTCTGGCGGCAAAACAGCTAAATGCAAGGTGATTGGCTGAAACAAAACTCACTACTCGGCTGGTAGGAAAAAATGATACTTACGGGTCATAGAACTCCTCTTGGGAGACTTTCTTCTTAGGGGCAGGGTTACAGTGATGGCGTATGACCCATAAAATCTCATCACGCGCCAATGACAACCCATGCAATACAACCAGAATCTATGAAATATGATGCAATTGATTGATTGACTGTAGTATGAATAATGTACCGAACAAACAAACCATCCACCAAAGGGCATTGTGGGTCTCGTTAATTTGAAATAAAAAGTAAATAATTTATACAGCAATTGACTCTCTACATGTAGTTAGTATATTGTTTCAGATGGAATACACTGAAAATAGAATAAATAATTATTATTAATTCTACTTTAGACAATGTCACTATGACCCACAATGCCCTTTGGTCTTGGAATGCACTATTCAGTATGCACTATTCAGTATACAGCCTTTTTGAAATAGCTGTAATGGGAGATTCTTATATTTTATACAAAATATTATAAAATATTATATTATGTACTAAATAGTATAAAATTTTCTATTTAAATGATTAAATGCACCTTTGGTCCAAGAAGACCTGGTTGATCAGAGAGTATCAGGGACATTTCCGCCATGGCTAGTCTTAAGTAGTTTCTTCTTTCCTTATGTAGAGACACGCTATGAAGATAATACACAAACACAAATTCAGAGTTCAGCTACTTAGGGCAGTAGTAGCTACTTAGGGGTGTGAGCCTTGCGTGACAACACTAATAGCGGCTGTGTAGGACACTAGATATTTTACAGAAACACAAATTTAGAGTTCAGCTACTTAGGGCAGTAGTAGCTACTTAGGGGTGTGAGCATTGCACAATGACATTAATAGCCGCTGCATAGGAGACTAAGCTTTTATAGACTTTCAATACATGTAACTAAAATTCTATTGTTTTCGATTTGTAATCTGATTGGTTGAAAAACTCAAGTGTTCACGGTTAGAGTAAAACGACAGTAATTCAATGTGGTAGTTACAAGGCTAAAAACGACAGCTGCTCAATAGCTGGACATGACTATTGGCCACATGGATTTCACTTCAGCCATACTCCTATACAAATACTACTGATCAATACATGTATGTGACCAGTCAATGACTGGTCAAGAGGACTGACGTAAGAGACATTTGATGGGACACATGCCAATTTTGGCCAGGCACTATACCCTGTGTTTACCACTACCACCACCATTATTTTTATAGATACATAACAAACATAGCCTGGTGTTACCTGGGTGTCTTTCAGAAGGTTTGTCCAGCATTTAATAATAATAAAAAAATTGTAAAAGAAAAATGGAAAAAAAAACAACAAAGAACCTGTTAGTGATATGGTTGGATGCATCTTGGATGTCTTTGACTCGCTTGTTGTACCTATTTTGATATTTTATTTTAGTATAATAACCAGAGGAAGAAGAAGAACAACAACAACAATAATATAATGATATTCTAAAACAAAAATGAGAGACAAAAGTTTTGGATGATTCAACGACCTTATGTTATCATTTCTTATTCTATTATTATTGTTGGAATTTACAGTTGTTGATACCAACAAATAAAGTTTCGTTACTATGGCATGCATTATTGCCAAGGGGCCATCACATGCATCATGCTAAACCCTTCTCAATATAGTATCAAACTTACTTTTAACCTTCAAATTTTATCAGTATTCTGAAACAACCTCTGGGCTGAATCATAGTTAATAGAGGGGAATGGTTATGAAAGCTATTGTTATATGTCTTTGTTCACTTTTTTCAAGTGTGACCCTGCACAATCCTTTGTTTTACCATTGTTGGCAATGGCTGAGTGAACAGACCAAAATGTTTCTTTTGGCTGCTAGTTCAAAATACTTAAAGATTTATAAGAGATATTTGAATATTCCTTACAATAATCCCATAGACTAAGTTTATGTTTACATGTTTTTATTTTGCAATTTTGGATGAGCATAAATCAAACATTGTGCACGGTCAAGACCGGTTCAACATCAAAGGCGAACAAAGACCTGATAACAATAGGTTTCATAACCATTCCCCTCTATTAACTATGGCTGAATCAAATTCAGGGCACAGCTACATGTAGCCCACAGATCAAAATTGCAAATTGGCTTGTTAGGCTTTGTGGAGGGAGTAAAATTAAAGGACCTAGTGAAAGACCATTGCAAAATGTCTTAAAGAGGAATTTCAGTCATAGACAAAACACATCTGGAGCACACATCTTGATCATACCCTTTCAATCCATCAAGTAGATTTTGGATCTCCTTGTGATAGTAAAAGACTTCATCCCTGAAGAGAGTGATGCAGAAACCATCCTGCAATGACATCTTCCAGATGTCTGTGATTCCTGGCATGGCCAGCTGTTGGTGACATAGGGTGTATCCAACTGAAAGAATACAATCAAATGACAATCTGAATACCGCACAATTAATTAAAGTACAACGTCATTAGAAAAATGATCATCAAAACTACAAGCTCCTGTTTGTACGAAGAGTGGATAGCGCCATCCAACAGATAAATGAATGAGCTTGAATCTAGTGAATAAGTCTATAGTATTATCAAATAAATTTATCCAATGGATAAGATTTATCTATTGGATAGCACCATATTCATCCTTCAATATGACCATGCTTAATAATAATAATTTTTGAAGGTGTTGTTCATTTCTTGCATTCATTTTTTGGACATTCTCTGCAATTGTCAGTTTCAGTCAACCACAAAAGCAAATCCCTAGATTTCACAGTACACTACAAATAGACCAATATTAAACACCAATATTGACATCAAAGAAAAATCCAACCACACCCCACACATCAAAAAGGCCATTATCAGAGGGTCCAAAGGAAGAGAAAAACGATTACTGTATTTAATGAACAACAACTATAACCAGAGCTAGAAAATGTTGAAGAAATTTTTATGGCAAATCAATAGCAATCAAAAATGGATGTACAGATCTTAATTCATTTATAATCAGGAACAGCAGACCCTGATAATAATGAATAATGCGCTTACTCATGATCCATCGTTGAATTGTAGACATACTAAGGTATTCGACAGCAGGCTGCAAAAGAAATATCACTTATCTGAGCATGAAAAATAAAGCTGTCCTATTTGTGTTATTATAAGAAATAAAAATGTTACAGTTTTCAATACTTCTTGTCAAGTTTCCTGAGAGCAGAGTTTTGAACCATATTTTCATAATAATTTTAGCTAAAAATAGTTTCAACTCTCAGATGAACATTCAGAGCTAAGGCTGCTTCTTCTAAAAAAGTTACAGTTACAGTCTTAGAAATTTCCTCAGTTGTGAAACTGTGATTTTTTAAAATTCATCTCTAGTCAAATTGTCTTGACCATAAATGTCAAATGATGCAATCCAGGCAAAAAAAAAAGGCTAGTCCTAAATTTGGTTGTAGTGGCACTTTAATGGCTATATTAGATGCATAAAAGGTAGATATTTACCACGTCACTTAGTGCAGGACTGAGCATGCCAGCAGGTTGACTGATGAGGCTCAGAATTTGATTTTGGCGCCACTGCAAACAACAAGGAAATGTTAATAATTTTATTGAAATAAGAACATCATTTTCACCGTTAAAACATAATTATAAAACAAGTTTCTTACAATCAACTTTTTACCTGTTCTCCAGTCATTGACTTTCTGAGAAAGATTTCGTGTATGGATTGCAGGGCTGTAGACACTCTCTGTTATTGAAAAGGATAATGCAGAAACATTACAGCAACAGAAAATACAACTATAATATAAAAAGAGGCTGTGAGCCTTGCACCATCTGAAGGAAAGCATTGGCAGCCGTTTTTACTATATTACTCAAGCTTGATGTTAAATTTGTTACATGTAGTTGCACATTGAGTTTTGTTTTTCATTGCCACTTGTCAAACATGTACACATAATATGAAAGTAACAACTGATTATTTTTTCATTGATGCAAGAAAAACCAAATTTTAGTGGGAAATACCAAGATTGCACAACATTGAATATACATTGTAACTGTTACGATCTTTGAAGCACAGTTAGGGAAGCACAGGTGGAATGCACTGCTACATAAAACAGCACCTCTCAACAATGTGGCTAGGTTTGAGCCCTGCCAGCTCGGTGTCCTGTGTGAGTAGAGTTGTCTGTTGGTTCTCTCCTGAGCTTCAAGGGTTTTCCTACGGGTTCTCTGGTTTTCCTCCCTCCGCAAAAATCCACTTCTAAGTTCTAATTTCATCTATCGGCTGCCTTATCAATCGGATGGTTTACAGTCATGACGCCCCCTTGTCATGACACCCCCAGCCATAACGCCCCCACATATACCATAACGCCCCCAGTCTGTACTACCATGACGCCCCCAGCATAAACCATGACGCCCCTAGTCTCTATTAACACTTATTTAATAAGAAGTTTAACAATATTTCATAGTATAAATCCATGAACGACAAAAGAATAACGAAAAGGAAAAACGTTGACAACAAAATTTCATAAGTCCGATAAATAATTCGTAATTCAAGTAAGTACAGCGTAGTTGCCCTAAGAACGCTAGTGATCATCTTTCCTATTATTGTTTCACTCTCCAAAACGTTTGGCACTGAAAATATCAAAAGAGCATACCGTATTATCATACTATGACATTACTGTAATCTAAATACAAACGTGATACGTTGACATGACGCATCGCGTTTGTAATACAGCGAGGTGTCACTTTTGATTCCTCAACTCACTGTCTAATTTACTTCCGAGGTTGAGTTTATTCAACTTTCCGTTCGTAATTTCAAAACCTTTTCTGTAAACAGATGCCTTGAAGAAATATTTTGTCTTTCCCGGAGCTTGCTGAAATCACTTGAAAAAGCTATCAAAATAGACCCATTTATCCATTTGTGTAAATAACAAAAGAGTTTGAAACACAAAGGTGCGCGTCTCAAAAACAATCCTTACAAAAAATTTTAATGTTCTTTGTGAAATGATGTTCTAGAACTCCAAATGCACCAAAATGTTCTTTAAATATGAAGAATTTTTTATAGGTTTCTCGTGCCGATAAAGGCATTCCGAAATGTTGATCACGGGCCATGTTGAGAGTGCTTCGTAAAAAAAATAATCGCACGAAATAAAAGTTTTAACCGATGAACATGTCTAAGAATTATGGTTGGATTCCTAATGCATCTCAATGATTCTAATTCAGCTATATCATGTTCTGGAACTAATTATCAATGACAAAATTCAAGAAGTACATCACTTAACTACAGAGATTTAGTGATTGCCAGCTTGTAGGTATCGTTTTTAACTCGTGGATACGCAAAGAGTAGAAACGAGTTATTTAAAACCGTAATGATCATGAAGCAACTCCAATAGTGTTCAATTTACGTGGGTTCGTAGCTCCATATTATTATCGTTAAACTTCTTATTAAATAAGTGTTAGTAGAGACTAGGGGCGTCATGGTTTATGCTTTGGGCGTCATGGTAGTACAGACTGGGGGCGTCATGGTATATCTGGGGGCGTTATGGCTGGGGGCGTCATGACAAGGAGGCGTCATGACCGGTTACCAATCGGATTGCAAAACCTGTTAGGCATTGCGTTTTCCACCCAGGAGTGGTAAACACATAACAGTTTTAAAGAAATTCATTTTATAGAGAGTGTTAGCCTAGCTCTCCTTTACCTGTTGGTGAGGTACAAATTGTTCAGCTAGTTTTTTCAGAGGATTCTCGTAATCCAATATCATCTGTCCAAGCCTAGGAAATGACTCCTCACTGGAAAACGACACAGAAAAGTATTGAATGTGAACACTACAAGTAAAACACTAGTTACTCATCAGAGAAATTACTTGGGTGTTCTGCTTGAGCAGGGTTTTCATTAAGGTCCAGAGATCAGAGAATGCTCTTTTAACTGAGCAAAATTCTTCTGCTTGGGCTACATGTGCCATCATGCATTCTTACAGCGTCATGAATCACATAAGGCCTTGAAACGTAATGAAAACCCTGCCAGGATTCACTGACTACATGTTCTTCTCCTATTATTTTAAAACTTAAAGAAAACTATGTGTCTGCCCAGTAAGGAACCAATCAGAAAACTGTACACAATCTTAAAATAATTACAGTCAGATCTACATGCATCCCAATAATAAAGACACCACGAGGACCAGATAATGCACATGCTATCATCCTTAAGAGGCACTGACATTCTCTCTAGGACTTGAAAAAGCACAAACTGACATTATAGTGAGGACAGCATATATTGCAAGGATGATGGTACATGAATAAATTAATGTTTTTAAAAAGTGCATGCACCATTTAAGCACAATATGATACAAGGTTCCTAATATAAGAGAGAGTACAGAGTGCAAATCATCCAATAAACTCTACTTAAGATATATTTGTTGCAGAGTCCAGGAATAGACCTCTTTAGCTTTGTTATTTGTTGTGCACATTTCAGAGCATGTGATGCAACTCTTGTGAGTTGATTCTTTGATGTGTAAATATTTCAACATGTTCGTCATAAAAGAACAATTCTCAACAGAATGTCAAGTGATCTGAAATGGGCAATTTGCATACAAAGCTAAAATGGTATATTTAACCTGATATCGATACCCAAGTATATAGATAAATATACATACAGTATAATATATACAATACCTTCTTCCATTTCTCATTTCAAATGCATGGTTAAAAAGTCCCAGCACTGACTTCCTATCATCAACACGGGATACCATGATCATCAGAGATGTAAACGTAACAATGAGGTCCAAGTATGTCTTTGTGAGACCAAAATTCAGTGTCTGTCATTTTAAAAAAACCCAATATTCAGTAAACACAATGTAATATTTAATATGCATTCACATGTATAGTGGCGAGCATAACATTTTCCCTTACAGTCAAAACAGCTCAAGCTTACCCCCCCTAGTGAATCATTATTCTTTCTGAGAATACGAAGACTCAGGATTCAAAGTTAACTCAAATTCTGATTGGGTTATTGTGTTCCTTTAGAATCAGTAAATAGCATGCATGGCAGCTTGGACTAAAAATGAAAAATGAAGGCGGGTCTGTTGCAAGTCATGATGACTGGCCAAATTACTGTAGTTTAAGCTTGGTCATACCCCATTTCTGTCTCAACGTTACTGGTTAAAATGGCCAGCAAAGCAAAGATTTGACCATGCACACAAGTTCCAATTTTAGCCAAACATGGCCCCATGACTGGCTGTTGTTGTTAGCCCTGCATGGTAATATTAACTAACTACATGCAATAAAATATGAACAAAGCTAGGTAGGGGACTTACAATGTCAAAGTTTACGAAACTTGCATCAATGGCAGTTAATAGTTCACACGCATTATCCTGCAACAAAGAATGGTATATTTAATTAATGAAACATTCCTCTTTTAAACCTTTAGCACATCAACCATTCTAAATTCTAATTTCTAAATTTGAGTACTGGTGGCAGTAAAAATCACTTTCACAACAAGCCATTGAAATGTCTGAGTTTGCAGAATATTGAAAACCACAGTCATAGCTTATTTCTTTACAAAGTACCCTTGTTAGGGTCCCAAACTTGACACTGAAAACACAAAACACAAACCTTGAATTCCATGATGTCTACGAATGTGAAGTAGTAATTGGACAATCCTTTCATGACTTCATTCTGGATGCTAGAAACTGGCTGAAGTTGTGGAGCCTATCACAAGATTAAACAAAAAGTGAATGCCAAATTAATACAAAGTTTGGGAAAGCATGGTTAGCATGCATTTCTAATGCTATCGTTTGGTGTTGCAGTCGTGGAAAAAACATGTACAGTACAGAAGACTAGATACTATACATAAGACCATAAGACTAATTTAAGTGGAAGGTTATTACATGCAGCTTAAATAGACTTGAAATTTAGAGGATACCAGTGTTAAATTTATTGATACCCTGAAACAACAGTTCTCTGGGTTGATCAAAGTAAAGGCATAGCTAATTAACTCACAGATCAAACACTAAAACAAGCTCTGGGCTAATAAAAGTCAAGGCATGGCTAAGTCACAGATTGAACCCTGAAACAACCTTGAGCTGATCAAAGTCAGGGCATGGGTAACACAGGTTAAATTCAAACTTAGCATGTTAGGTTTTGCTGTGGGAGAAAAACTTAAGACCCCAGATAAAAACCCTAAAACCAATAGACAGACCTTAGAAACTCTTACATGTGAGTCCAGGAATCAATCCCAAGACTCCAGAGGTGAGAAACAAGTGTACCTCTACATTACCTTGATTCCCTTAAATATTAACAAAATATAAGGGTTCTGTACCCTAGAGCTCAGCCTCTCCCTCGCCATGGACCATGGCCCCTGATCTAAGATTGACAGAACCCCCCAGCTGATGGGATTAATGTACAGTATAATAAACATACGTTATTATAATCAATAAAAGTGAAAGAGAGCAACATAGCCAAAGAGTGTGTGTTGACAAAGATCAAACATTATAAACCAGAGTAAAAACATTCCTTTTCATTTTATAGAGTTTATTTTATAATATATATCTACCTTTGTGTCCATCTGTGGGAATTTTCTAACAATGTATTTTATAGCTGGTTCAAGTGTCTTGTCAGTCAGGAAGCCAGGTCTTGACTTAGGGTCAGAACAAGCCTTCATAAAACAATATAAACTTGTTAATATTAGAACAAAATAGGGCTGGATTTCTTGGACAGGACTAAATTTTTTTAATAAGCTCTAGAACTACTGTAAAATCTTCTTGAAAGCAGTAAGCTACAGTACATAAAGCTACAGTACATGTATCGTCTTCATCAGATTCAGTAAGATATGTTACTGGCACAATATATCAAATGCATGGATAACCCCTAAAACATTAGATAAATGAATAAATCAATCAATCAGAAGGTATAACACAGCAATTCACAATAAAATTCCAACGTACCTTTTTAATATTGTAAATACGAGTCAACATTCCATTCCCTCTGTCAGTCAAGATGGTCAGCTTTTCAGCCAGTTTCTGTTCTGTAACCGATAGCCCTCGGTCCATTTTGTATTCCCTTGTGTTCCCACAGATTATGTCGTTCCTTACTTAAGTATTTTTAGGCCGTAAATCCTCGTAATCTTTGCTCAAGTCCTGATGAAAACAAGGAAATAACTGAACTCCATGACAAGTTTTGTCCTGGAACGCCCTGTGCCCTTTGGAGCCAGGCAACCACAGGGATCCCACAGGACATTATTTTTGGTCGGTTTATTTGCCCGGTAGGCCGGGGAAGGCCGGGGAAGGCCGGGAAGATAGATCGGGGAAAGGATCAGATTTTTTACTGTTTTTTTTTTCACTAGAGTCGTTTTCTTATAAGTGGGAAACATATAGTACTGACTTACAGTACGTACACGGCACACAAGCCGTAGAGTGTTTTGCGCGTGAGTGGGAAACATACGGTACTGACTTACAGCCCGTACACGGCACGACATGCCGTAGAGTGGTTTTGATATCAGTGGGAAACAAACGGTTCTGACTTAGATCGAAGCACGTAAACAGTACAACATGCCGTGACACTGATTGAAATAGCTTCTAATTCTTTCACTGATAGTCTTTCAGTTGGTATGATTTCTTGGAATTCAGCTTTGACATGTGTGAGACTATATCACGGGCGGAAATGGAGATCTGCTACCAACGACTACGACCGCGATTATTTCCATTTTATAGATGAATAACAAGTGGTTTCTTAACATATGCTAAGTAAGCATTTTTCTTCACGACTGGCCCCGGAAGAATAATTTTTTTCCTTTTTTATTTTTCACTTTTATTCCAAAAACGGAAGTAATCGTACTAAGCACCAGACTGCTCTCAATCTAAGTGAATGGTCAATCTCCGCCCGTGTGTAAATAAGATCGTCTCACCACAAGCATGGCAAAGACGTAAGTAATTTTTTTCTTTGATTTTGATTCTTTTTTTGGGCGTTTAACTTTATATTCTTAAGACAAAACTTTCAAAATTAAATCACCTATTGTTTGATTTACAATAACTTATGATATTTTGGTCGAGACATTGGCGGGCTTCACTGAAAATCCGAATATGAGCACCACACGCAGAACTCATAGCAGAAACTTAGTAAAGTAGAAGCTTGAGTTTGAAGTTTGTTCAATGGTTATGACTGATCATGATCGCGGGAAAACCGGCTGTACCTCAGTCCGCGATAGTATGCATGTTGTTAGAGGCTGTAGTTGTGTTCTAATACAGAAGGTAGTTTGACCCGCTGCTAGTTTTAAATACTATACTGTACAATGAACTATTAAGCTCCGAGATGCTATGTTTCATCGTGTAACATCTCCTATTCTTGTTAAACGTTCACGGAAAACTCTTCCACGCAAAACTTGTTGCTGTAACGTAACCGTCCTGTTTTGTGATGCCCCCAACGCCGTTAATAATATATGTACTTGTAACTGTTTCAGTTTAAAGCTTCGCCGTAGTGTAAACAGCGCAAGCCAGAACAACTCTTTTGTTTTTGCCATTGGGGTTGAGAAAAAAAACACTTGTTTCTTCAGCTAGGGTAAACCGACCTTTATTTTAAAGGCCTTATAGTTTGGAGGATGTTTCCTAAAAAAAACTGGAACTTCTTCCTAAGTAAACTATCGTGAAATGCTCCTCTTCCGGGATCTGTGCCTCGAAAGCTACATGCTGAACGCGGGTCACGGGACTAGGAGAGGAGTATGTAAAAAAAACCTATCTGTTTCTAGTGACAGATCATTTCTTATCGCAGTATGCGTTTATTGACTGCTTTTTTAGCCAAGTAAAAGGTATCAAGAAATGTAAGGGGATGTGGGGGGG